AAGAGAGATTCAAAGATGTAAAAGAGACAGACGGACACAAGGGTCGAGAGTAGGGTAAGGTGAGTACTGTGAAAGTGATCGAGTAAGACGTACAGTAGGGTGATGGTAGTTTGAAGTCAAAAGTCAACTGTATGCTAATGGACTTGCTTGCCGTATGAGTATACATCGCCCAGAGTGCACCACGTGGAGGTAAGTCTATCGCACACCTCACATTAGGAAATCATTATAAGCAAGTGAGTCAGTGATTAATGTGTTTGTACTCTAAATCGAAATTCGATGCCTTTCGGGAGTATATTCAAAGGTTGCGAAAGTAGACCAAAGTAACTACGTCTAAATAATTGAGGGGGTTCAGAATTCGTTCCAATTATACAGAATGAACATTCCTTATGCTACGCCATAAGTTCATGGGATGGGGAGATGGCAGTATGCCAAAATTCTTCCTTTTACTTAACTAGATAGACCCATTTTTTTGTATTTTAATGCATTTACAGCAAATGACTAGCCGGATGTAAGTAATTCAATTAGAGGCTGCCAACATTGGAGTCCACATGCACACATCATGTCTTAATTCTAGATAAATGAAGCAAATGATCGATGTTTTTCTTTTCAATCACTACAGGAATTGGCTGATGCAATATCTAAAACTGTTCTTCCACTAAAATGAAGAAAATGGCACAAAACAAATCCGGATATTTGACAGAAAGCTGAACCTAAAGTTTTGTTATGCGCAGTTTTCAATAACCAGATCTTCTTCTAATCCAATAGACAGCTCCAGTATTAGGGCGTTAATCAGTACCCAGACAAATAAACATCAAATTTTAATAACAATGAACTCCAATTTGCTTAAAACACATGGTATCTCAAAATCACATGAAAGAATAGCACCATCAATCAAGGAAGAAAATTAAGAGGGAGAAGGGAGAGGAGGATTGAGGAGGGTAAAAGGTAGCAAATGGAATCAGTGGAAAAGGTAGAACAGGAGGAAGAGAAGACAGCAACCTATAACGGCGCCAATGATGATCGAATCACGTTTCTTTCGCCAATCAACCCGATTAAGAACCTTATTTACTAGCGGAAATTGGGCTCTCATGTTCAGCAAACTGTTAGTTGTGGCTTTAAGCACGTGATGTTGGGATTTCAATGCGGAGCGGATGGCTGTAGCTGCGGAGAGTCGATCCGATAACATCTTATCAGCATGGAGAAGGCTCTTCTGTTCTTCAATTAAAAGTCTCGTAGCCTCGGGAGGCTTATTTGTCTGCGGTATATTTTGCACACGATACGTCTAAAATCAACGCTACTTATTAATTTTAAGTAGGTAATCATTTGCAAACAAAATGAAGTAGACCAAAAAACTCACAGAGGACAAAAGATCTTCACGCATGCGTGCGTTGTTAAAATTTGTTTTCATACGTTTGAAATCTTGAGAATAATCGAAGAGAATTTCTCGATGTCGCTTTGCGATGTGTTGCTGACTGACATTCCCTTGGTCAGGACCAGAAAAATGTTCGCTCATCTTGTCATTCACTTGGTTAAGCCTACAACATAACCAGGTAGAAATAGAGTAATAATCAAAGAAAATATTGGATCAAATTAAATGGAGATTTGAAATAAACAGGTATACTAAAATATAAACTAAACTATTAATCAAGGTAAAAGTTCGCAGCAAAATTTATTAAAAAAAGGATTGAGATTAACTTAATTAGATTCTTAACTACGAGATAATATCAACAATTCGAAACGCCAAAATGTAATATGTAAGACGCAAACATTAAATTTTACAGCAGTATACAAAGTTTTAATTTGAATAGTAAAAACGCAAAAAAAACAAAAGAGTATTACGTTTTACCTTTGCAATAAGTTTTCAATATCATTGCATAAATCGCCATAACTTTTTCCAGATGAAGATTGAGTGATATGAGGGGTTCTGTTATAAGAGCTACCACCAAGCGAAGAACTGCCAACCTTACCAAATTCCGTGAGTTTAAGGTCTATTTCGCTTTCAAGAGACTTCGCCTGTCGCCTCAATTCCCCCCACAACATATTTTCTTGTCCACAATTGGATAATCCAAAGAACAAAAAAATACTAAGAGACTTATGAATACGGCGGTGAATTCTAATTGGGTGAATGGTTTAGCAACAGGATTTAAAATAACATTTATATTGAAAAATATAGATGTATTGAATACTATTGCAAGATATAAGCAATATTATCATTCGTAAGGCATATAATTTAATTTTTACTTTAAATTTAGGTTCGGAAAATAATATTTACGAAAACATATATTAAATGTTCACATATACTCTGATTTTTGAAAAGGCCAGTTCTATCTCGCATCATCAATTGAGGAGTTATATTTTTTGAATACATCATTTAAATAGTTCTAATTTTACAGAGGGGCTTTTGGATGCGTTATGGACATCGAAAAAGCGCCTTCAGATTTGAACGTACAATAAACCGAGTATTTTTTGTTAATTTTGTGCTGGCTTGTACATTTCGATTTTAAATACTGTGTTTTTTTAAACTTGCAGTCAGAACATTTATCGACCCTCCATTATGAATGCACTATTCGAGCCAAAGAAATATCAGAACGATCTGGAGTCAAAATTCCAGATGAGATTGCATCTTTAGTGACGGAAACAACCTTCCGGTTCTGTCAACTGCTGTCCACAGATATCGAATCTTTTGCCCGTCATGCAAAGCGTTCAACGATCAACATGGATGATGTTTTATTATTTACTCGTCGCAATCCACTGTTGGTAAATACATAGATTTTGTACTAATTTTAAATTAGACTGCCTTCTTGGAGGAAAAATCAGCTGAATTTGATGCAGTGGCCGATGCCAAAGAATCCAATTCTGAATTTCAACCGGCGAAACGAAAGAAGCAGACCACTTTAAGTAAATTAAAAGTAATACTAAATGTCTTGCTATCTTTTTAACGCCTATTTTATCTGAATGGCCATTTCATTCTTATCTTTTAGGATGGACCTGCTTCAAGATCAGAAGAATCTCCGCTGCGCTCATCACCCTTAAAAGCCTTATTTGTTGAATCAGTACGTTATTTTCCTCCGCTTTGAATCTAAGTTTCAGTACTTTATAATGTTTTTTTATGAATGCGTTTCACTATTCGTGGACAACTTTGGGGTTTCCGCTCTTTTAATATGGGATTTGTTTCTACTTTAGATTTAATTAACTTGAAGTTACTTTGTAAGTCTTGCGCAAAATAGCCACGTTGGTGGATGTGGTGCATTTGACATGTCAGGCCCTATCGGTTTCGTTTTATGACAAAGTTTCCCAGATTTTAATCCATTATAGGTTACGGGTCACTATCGAAGTTTCGCTTCAATTAGTAGTAGATTTGTAGACATTTTTATTTATTGGTGTAAACATTGATTGCTTTCATTCAGGAGAGGATGACTCCCAAGGCCAATACTCCAACTCCTTCTCAGTCTTCTGGTAGAACCGCTTCCCCCATTACAGTATGTTCAATTATTTTTAATATTTTTTTTTATTTGACACGAACTGCTCTTTGGTAGTGTTTCTTGTGATTTATTCTATTTCTTTAGTCATCGAGTGTTCTTTTTGTTTTGAATTTGCTTTAGAAATCTGTCGGTGAATCTTCAAATCTAAAAACAAATGTGGGAACAAAGCTGCAAGATATGTTATCTGACTGTATCCACGAACCGAAGGTGTGATATTGTTTTTGTTTTTCTCACATTTATTTACGTGTTTGGGATTGATTTCCCTCTCTACTGCGCCTTAACAATTTCGATTTGTGTTTGAGCTTTGTGATTGTCCCATTTTGAATGATGAATTCGCTTTCTGAAATTCTTTGCTAAGCGAGTACGGTTAGTCGCCCACTGGACCTAACAGTTTGACAGTTATTTTTCCTGAGGAATACTTCAAATTGATCTGTTAGTAGATTTAATCCGAGATTTGAAGTGTTCCCGCGCTGTTTTGACTGCAGATTGACTTCATTGGTATAAAGCAAAGTCCTTTTGCTTTTAGTCGTCAATACTTCTGGAAGCAAACACTGGGGAAGGAGCAGCAAGCAGCGCCTTCGAAACTTCTCTCTTCGATGACAAGGATGACTTTTCAAATATTTTTGACGATTTTGATGCATTATGAGATTTTTATTTTTAAATTATATGTATTTTCTGTTGCTCAGCACCCAATTCGTGTTTTTTTTTCAAAAGGTTTTGCAGAAATGGTACAATTTTACTTGAATATAATTAATTGAGGGCTTTTGATAGTTAGGTTGCTCTATTATAATTATGGAGGCGGTATTTTTGCATTTATCAGTGTATATATAATCTGTCCCTTAATAATTTGAGTGCGGTTCATGGAATCCCTAAATGGATATAAGTGAGTATCACATCTCTACAGCAGTTGTCAGAAAAATCCCATATCTCCTCTGTAAATTGATGGGCCTAAGCTGTCGTTGAATTGCAAATCTTCTTCCGGGTTTGAGCTGCCATAGATACGTAATGGTTCCCCTATTTATAAGTTGGTTAAACGCCATTGTTACCAAATCTCAGCCTATACGCTTCGCTGACACTTCTGTGTTCATCCATCGCTAGCTTTATCCACTTTTTCTTAATCCTGATCTATTTTACTCAGTCAAATTTAGCCAACACTGTCTTGCCTTATCTCTTACAATCCAGATGTTGCAACGAAACTTGGTAGAAAATAAATGCATGGCCTGAAAAAATAGCTGGCATATTTAGCGGCCTCTCTTAAAGAAGAGAAATTCGATAATTCAACTGAAGAATATACTTTTTTTCGGGAACAAAAGTGAAGTTTCTACGCTAATAAGTCTTGACTGCACTCAGAAGTTTCTATGGCAGATTCTCCTTGTCGGAAGGAAAACGTATTTCAAGCGAAATGTTCATTGATGATTATGATTAGTTGTCAAATGAATCTACTCTTATTTGAATGTGCATTAATAGCTCAATATCTCAAGCGTATATTTTCCTAGTAGTAAAGGTAGTGGTGATGATAGAGGCAAGGAAGACGTGCTACAAGCGACACATTTATTGCATAATATTTCATCAGTAAGCATGTCTAGTTATAAAATAAAACGAGCACATTTTTAATGAATATAAATAGCTAAATATCTGAGCAGTGCTCTGCACGTATGGCCACACGCTCAATGATGTTCGGTTGCGCAATTTAGCGTATGAGGAAACAGAAAGTAAACTTGTAATTTAAATAAAAACCTGGACATAGGTAAATGGTAAATGACGTTAAGGAAGCCCTTTCTTGCATTGCACCCTTTTTAATAAATTTGACATACATTAAGTTGGTATCATTCAGTAACCTCAGATGTCAACGAATCATCATCAGTTGAGGACAGGAGTGACATGAACATGCTAAACCTCCAGAAATTTCGTAACTCAGCGTTAAGCCTATAATTATGCTTCAAAAAAGGAAATAACAATCGATGGCCAACGTATAGTGATTTAATGGTTAAAAATAATGAAAATTATTAATTGTGCTATTTGGTAGTAGTATTGATTTTTAAATGAAATAACGCATTAGAAGTGGTGACTAGATCCACAATTTGATTGAATATTTATAGTTAGTAGCACATACAGGGCATTTCGAGAAATAGCCACTCAAAAACAAATATGTACCTAAAAGAGGTCTATTAATAATGCGCCAAACGTATATTTGCTTGGAACAATTCTAGCCTTCTGCATTACAAGACAACGATACTTAACGTAATAGGGGATTTTGTTTAGATATTTAAATGTGCTAATATAATTAAAATTAAGCTAGTATTAGTAAGAAAACGAAATTTAGTATATTAAAATTTGACAACCACGTTGACTCAAACAAAAGCAAATATATTACACGTGTTTATAGTAAGTTTGGTAAATTGTTTTAAATGACTTGTAACCTTGACAAGCACGTGCCTGCTTCACATTTACTCATTTAGATTGTGGGGTGTGCGTTCAGAGTGCGTTTGTGCGACCGTGTTTGATCTTCTTGATAGAGCTAGTTTACAACTATTTATTTAGCTTTGTTTGTTTAAAAGTGTTTACTTTTCGCTTTGAGTAAAATGGAGAATGACAATGAGTTGGAAAATTCAAATAATGGACGGGTTAGCTTAAAGAGGAAAATGGACGAAGATGAGGAAGTTGAAATGGAATACAAGCCATCTGAGGAGGATATCCGCTTGATTTTGGCAGCTAGTGAAGACGATTTGCCTCAGATCAAATCTCTCAACGAATCTGGCAATGGTGACATTTGTTTCCAAGATCCCGGGACTGGTATGAGTGTCCTAATGGCCGCTGCGGGATCAGGTCACATCGAAATTGTGAGATATCTCCTTGAAAATGGGGCACCCTGGAATGCTGTCGATAGAAAGTATCGATGTGCTGGTGACTATGCATCCATGAATGGCCACCAAGCTATCGTTGACCTTATTATGTCTCATGCTGTCATGTCGGAGATAATCTTATCGATAGCTGAAACTGGGGGACACACAACAAATCTTCCTGTAAATTGCATAATTAATTTTTTTTCTAAACATGATTACTTTTAGAATCCCAAAGAAGCTGCCGCTATTAAAGCTGGAAATCAGGAATCTACAAATGAATCCACTCCAAGTAAACTAAACTCTGCCTACCTATCCCGTCGCTTGGAGTACAGAGAAGAGGGCGGTTGTTTAGTTGACACTTCAACTCAACTTGCAGTGATGATGGATTGGGAGCGTCCCCTAATGGCTATGCATGCCTCTTGGATCACATTTTCAGATGTTGAACCTTCTCAGCGTCCAGAAAAAATTCGTACCCTCAATGTGGGTTTCGGAATGGGTATAGTTGATGATGAGATAATGAAGCATGCTCCTGAACACCACACCATAATCGAGGCACATCCCCAGGTAAACTAAAAATACACTGAGTTTGCCTTTAATAATCACCAAAATGTATACATGCAGTGCTTTCCTTTATCAGGTGTATGAGAAGATGGTAGAAACAGGGTGGACCCAGCGAGATGGTGTTTCTGTCCATCTGGGTCGGTGGCAGGACGTTATTCCACGTTTGGAGCATGATATTGCCAGTGGAAAATTACTTCCTTTTGATGGAGTTTTCTTTGACACCTATGCCGAGGATGATCATGATCTAAATGAATTTCACGTCCATTTGCCAAGAATTATGTCCCAACATCCAAGAGCAAGGTACTCATATTACAATGGAATGTGTCCGGACAATGTATTTTTCCATGGTGTAGCTTGTGAAACTACTCGACTTCGTTTGGAAAGGTCAGTTTTGGTGAATTTCACCAAAAATGGTTAAATCACAAGCACTTTCTGAGGTTATGGGTTGAATTTAGGCTAGTAGTTTTTCTTCTATTTTGTTCGCAAAATCGTGCTATTTTGATGTTGATCATTTTTACCAAGAGGCTTTGCTTGTTTATTCAGGAAGTGACAGGGTATTTTACCCATGACCCACTGATTAATGTGCTCCTCCCATGCCAAGTTGTAGTTTGCGAGGTCAGTGTTCATCGGAGCATACTCCGTAGTGACTTTGACCAACCCTTTTGGTAACTTCTCTCCTATGAGAAAGATGCTTTAATGTTTACTTTCTCATAGAAGTGGCATAATCGAGTAAATATTTGTAAATATTTTTCATGTGCCTAGGAAGTTTGCTTCACTTATTACTAACTGCTGGAACTCGAATGAGGTCACTGTATTTAAGCTAATTTGCAAAGGAGTAAAGTTGTCATTTATTTTTGCTGCAGGTCATGTGGTAGCCGAACATTATTCCAAATTCGAAGCTTCTCTCTTTGAAGTAATGTGTGGAGTATGTGTGTGGATAAATATCATTTGAATGTGCATTTTTTAATTGAACTTGTCAAACTTAAAGTTAAAGCTGGAAGATGATCTTAAAATCCACGAGGGGTAACGGCTTAGGTTCTTCGATTTCCTTCTTTATTGGAATTTAAAACAAATATTGCATTTGCTCTCTTCATTTCCACCAAGTATGATAACTAAAGAGGCCCGCTGACTACACTTGCTGAGAAGTCTTTCAGAATGTAGACATATCCTAATGATTAGTGACTCAAATCCCTAACAGGGCTCGAATCTAGAACTGGTGTAATTATGGTCTGTCTAACTGTTATTTTTTCAGGCTTGGTTTCAGGTGTGATTTCAAACCGGTTCCTGTTAAAGACGAAGTCAGTGACGAGAAGACATGGAAGAATCTCTCCAGCAGATATTGGAACTTCGATACCTACTTTCTACCACAGGCCTCTCGTTTTCCAAGTGATTACTTTAATAAGGAGTGATAAAATGCGTTTTAGTATCCACATGTACAAATAAATGTCAATTTGATATGATTAAATCCAGTCCTTTTTTATCGTTTTGCTTCTATTTTAATTATTGTATTTCGGTTTGTTTCTCTGGTCTTAATATGGACATGTCTTTCGACTATTTGAATGCATCTGTTCCACCATTTATTCCTTTATTGAATGAGTAGAGTCCTACTACGTTATAAATTTGGATGGTTCAAATGTATTCTTTGTGCACTGATGGGGAATTCACGTTCCATCGCCTCTCTTTTTGTCCAAGATTATCCAGAACGGTTTATTTTATTAGCCTTATTAATAGCGTCAGAGAATGGTCATGAAGGTCAAAGGATATATGATTTGAATTGTTAATATCAAATCCGTTATTCGTATTAATTAAACGCTGAAGTATAATTGAGGTCTCAATTCTTCTTGTAGGATATAGTTTGCTTGATGTCGTTGAACATTGAATAATTCCTCTTCATATGGACATTGAATAAGTCTGTTTAGTTTAGGTTAGATATATTTGTGCTATTTCTAAACCAATCTACCTTCAAAATTAAATTTGTTATTATTGAAGTGGTTATGGAGATTGACCTTGAAGGTGTGGTTCTAAGATCTTATCTTTTATCTTAGCCACACAGCCAATTTCTTTACTCCACAACGACTTGACATTATTTCCGTATCTGCTGATTTGCGATTACTTTGCCAGCTTCACTACTAGACCAGACGATTGTAAACCTTAAAACGCCTTTTTTGCATAATAATAACGGTTGACACCCTTATTAACGAAATACAAGGAAGTTTAGATTTTACATAGAATATATATTTAGTCTCATTAAAACTCGAACCAGTGACAGTGAAAATGATTTACTATGAGATATAATATGAGATCAGTGCAAAAGGATCCGGCAAAATCGTGTCTTCTTCTTCAAATTGCGCTGATATCTTGAATCAATTTCTCCATACTGATTTGCTTTCTAGCACGTCCAAGGCTTACAGTTCTGGTGTCTCTTCCAAATCGAAGGGTCCCCTGAGTTGAAGCTAGACTCGCTTTATCTGTGCGAACAGTTACAATCAAAATGCATTTCCCTGAATTGATGAAGAAGGGCTTTAATAAGTGAGTTAACTTGCTATCTCGAAATGATACTGCTTTGGGATTCTGGGTCCTTAGGGACGTCAAAACTCTATTAAGGGCTGTTAGTGATCGATTTATGAATCCAGCCTCTTTCACTAATACACGGTCACCCATTGTGTCCGCTTTAATGATATTCTCAAACCCAGCCAAGTCACACATTGCCAGAACTGAAGTCAAGATCTTTTGATACACGTTACTCACAGAATGAACTCGAACCAGGAGGATTAAATGTGATCTTGAGGAGGCGTCATTCAGAGCTGTTTTAGCCACTTTACGCTTTCTGGAGCACATTCTGAGGATTTCGTCAATTTGGGATTCTGATTCGAGATCGATATTTTGAATGGAATCCATCATTTTATCAACTCCGGAGTCCACACGAATGTTGATCCCTGTTTCACTACCGATGAGATCAATAAAGTTTTCATTATATATTTCCACGACACCGACTCTCAGTGTTATATCCCATTCATTGCGTCGAGTGGCCTTTTCTTGGAGTACAGTCCTTAAAGCTCGGTAGACGACACCTCTATTCTCGGCAATTTCATCGGTGCTTCCCATTAGGGTGTGCGTTTTCCCACTCGACTCGCCTCCATAGGTTATAAAACACACATTGAATCCATCCATGAAGGAGCATATTAGCGGAACCAGCTCTCCATAAATCTCCGCTTGACTTGCATTCGCATTAAAGACGCGGTCGAACTTGTACTCTTCAGTATTTGATGAATCAGAATTCAAGGAGACTGTGTCATTAGATTTAACTGCAAGCATGTTTGGAGTCTGTGGAATCTCCCTAACACGACAGAAGACGCGAATATTTCCCAAGTACTCCTGAATCATGTTGAAGAGGATCTTCCTTAGTTCCTCTTGCTTCTTTAAAATCTCTCGTAATTGGATATTTTCTTCAGTTAATGAGCTTAGCTGATGGTTCAGACTTCGGTAGTATTCCGCAGTACCTTCGATTGATTTGCGCTGATTGTCACGTTCTGCCAGTACTTGGTTGATCACTTCCACGAGGCCGCCACTGAAGATCTGTAGGCGTTGAATGCGCCTTTCAGCGTCTTTCTGGAACTTTCTTATAATTTCCAGACGTTCTTTATATTGGAAAAGTAATTCCTCAAATTCTTCCTCTGTCATGCCGAGAAAACATGAGGATCTAAGAGCTTGAGAAGTCAAGAACTCATGCATTTCTTCCCTAATAGGCTTTGTTTTGTCGAAATATTTGATGCATTTCTTGGTATCGTAGTTGGCAGCTCTTAATTCCGCAGCTATTTCAAGAGGTTCAACTATGTATGGACAGACAGTCATGATTTTCTGTATCTTGCGCTGAATTTTCGGAAGCGCTATCTCAAAGGCAATAGGCAATCTCTCACCCTCCATCGAAGGTAGCCCTTTCGACAAGAGAACAGCTCGTTTAGTTCTACTTTGAACCTTGCTCACCCAAATTGACGATTCTGAAGGCTGAAGTTCAATACAATCAAAAGCATCTCCCGAATTCCTTGATATTTTGCTCCTTCCTCTTTTTGATTGCATGCATCCACCTTCTGGAGAGGCTGAGCTTCCTTCACTGGAAGAATCATAAGAAGAGAGCCTTCTGCGTGATTTCTCTCTCTCTTTATCATCATCACCTTTACATCTGTTCTCATCCCTTGAAGTGTGGCCAGAGATCGTCGGACCTACATCGTCTTGTTTTTCGTGTGCATTTGCAAGTGCGTCAAAAAGCAGTGAATACTGACTGTAGAGTCGATTAAATGCATGTACAAAGCGAATGAGACAACTTCTTTCCTTACTACCACTCTCAACTTCTAAGAGATCAGGAGAATGCTGTAAATGACGACAAATTTCGATATAGGAACTCCAATCTTGAGAGGAAATAAAATCCGTAGGGAGACATTTTCGTGAAATTTCTCCCAGCAATCTAGAATTCCCATCTTCATCGGTCATCTCCATTTAAACTGGAATTATAATTTAGCCGAGTGCTTTCTTACGCTTAAAGTTTCCTTAAACAATGGCCCGTAAATTCACTAGTCATATGATTATGAACACGCTTTTATTGATTTTTATTTTCAAACTTAATTATGAAGTAAGTAAATCCGCAAACTGGGTTCAGAAAAATTAAAAAAACTTGATTTATTGTATTACTTTTGCCAGTAAATCTGGTTTTCTTAATCTTTTTATTTCTAATTATATTTTTTATTCATCTGTCGACATTTTACTGACTTCCGAAAATTTTAATCTTTAAGCTAACTCTTCCCAAATTCTTAAAAAGGTCAAGGATGTTTAAGGGATTCTGTCATTTATATATAAATAAATGAAATAATTTCCACACATTGAAAATTTGGCCACAGAACGATTATTTTAAACCAGCTGACACTCCGCCAACCCCACAGCCAATCAAAAAGACGACATCACAACCAATGGGTAAACACTGCCACGAAAACAGGATATATGTTTGAAGGACAAGAAAAACCGAAAAAAATTTTTTGTCACTATGAGTACTAATAATGAAGAATCACAACACTTGCATGCAGATGTTTGTTCGTCGTAGGCCAAGTTGAGTAGAATTTGTGTAGTATTTTGTGATAAATTTTCGGTGATAATTGGCAAAGAGGATAAACAATTAGCTATGCTACATGAAAAAGCATTTAATTTAAAGAAGGTCTCTAGATATTCCTCTTCTTTATTCAGCCACTGGAATCTTTGATTTGGCGAATCCTAGGCTAGTTTGGTTGAATACAACACTTCCGATGTTTCCGTAGCTTTCAATGATGATGTCACCGGTTTTAAACTGTTTCAAAAAAAATCAAACTGCTTAGTTGAAAAGAAATTGAAAAGTGCTAGAATTAAAAAAGCATCGCAACGATTAGCATTTCTTGCATCATTTAATTAGCAAAATCAAGAAATTGAGAAAGACTGTAAGCAAATGAGACAGTTCATTCATAATCAAAAGTGATAGAAACATAAAAGGTTAATATGATCTTAAGGGTCATAGAAATATCTTTCCACAACAGTCAAGTTCTTAACACATTTATATTGGCAAGTTCACTTTCATAATTGTCACTTTTAAAACCAGTGTGCTATAGACTTACCTCCACGTGGTACACCCTGGGCAACATATACTCATACGGTAAAAAAGTCTATCATTCGGCAGTTGACTTCTGACCTCTAATTACCATGACCCCACTGCATGTCATAGTCGGCCACTTCTACAGTACTCTACCTTTGAGTCTGTCCGTCTATTTTACCTCTGTAAATCTCTCTTCTGGTCCCCCCCCCCCCTTGAATTTTTCTAACTGATGTTTCTCCCCTCTCTTAAGTTTGAGGCCAGCTAAGGGCTAATGATAACTATCAAAATGCGTGCCTTTCGAAATAAATATTGGTAAGTTAGTTAGCAGTTTCTGGTCTGTGACTACACCTCGGTGTGGTCTGAACGCCAACCGGGTAAATGGACTTCGCCATTTACTGTCACAGCTAATGTACTAGAAATAGGGTATTCTGATGAGAAAATTGGATGCTTATTATGGGTAGTTGGGATAAAATAGCATTTGGCGTTTTCCTAGTTCCATATTTATAGTTTAATTCATCTTGTTCCTATGCAAGTCTTTGGGACCTCTATTTGCTTGTTACGTTTCTGCTAGGACTTTAAAAGGAAATATTATTATTCAACTTGGAACATTTTCATATGTAATCGGCTACTATTATTATTATTACCTCCACATTTGAACCAGGACAAGCATCACGAATGGCCTGAAGGAAGTTGTTGACATCGTAAAGCGTTCCAGCATTAGTATCCTGTCCATAACCAGCTCCGTTTGCGCTGGACTGACCGCTAGGAAGTTGGTTCTGCTTCACTAGCAGTGGATGATGTGTCAATACCACGTAGGGCATGTTGCGACAGAGGGGATTCCATTTTTGTGCCGCTGTAACAGTGCCAAGATCTCCCCAGACAAGTTGTACTCCCGGTGATGTTCGTGTACTGTTTTTAGTAAAAACAAGATTGACTTAATAATTGTTTTGTTTCGCCGCAGAGGGCTTCTTTATCGCAGTCAAAGACTCTTCGCTACTTACGGCATGAGTGATTTAGTGGGAAAAACCAGAGGTCCGGTTGTCACCGAAATCAGCTGACCAAGTCCGACGCGTTTGCTGTCACGAATGTGGCCACTGATGAAATCGTAGCGGATTATGTAGAAACTCCTCTCCGTCAGCACTACAATACGTTCATGCTCGTTGTTCCAGTGATCAATTCTGGAAAGAAGTTAGTATTAAAAACAATCACAAAAAGGGAAGATCTAGCATGAGGGGTTGGGGGGGGGGGGGTTAGTCGTGACAACAGTTAAAGGTGTGCGATTGGTCCATTTTTTTTCATTTATTCCCACCTGTCCTATTGACCCTCCTAATAAATATTTCATTTATATCCATCTCCTGTGAGACATCTTGGCATTAACTTGAAATGAGTGCGCACACAAACGTCTTATAGAATTTCCTGAATGGTACTTATTCACACTCAAAAGGGGGATTTAAAATGACATCACATTGTAGGTGTTTCAAAATCTGTCCTCTGTCCAATAGATGGCAGATTTTTTGGTCCAGAAGCACATTGTTTGGAAGAGTATAAAACTAGAGCACTATCTTCTGAAATTTCTTGCTCTCGAGACTAAGTATAAGCCACTTTTGAAGGTGGCATCTCAAATTCGATGCACTATTGAGCTCTTAAATAATGCGTCCAGGGTGCGTGATAGACTTGCCACCACGTGGTGCACCCTGAGCAACGTATACTCATACGGCAAAAAAGTCTATAAGCCGACAGTCGACTTAAAGTCCCCATGACCTCACAGTATGTCATATTCCACCACTCCCACAGTACACACCTAATCTTACCTCTTTCTCTGCCTTTGTGTCTGTCTGTCTCTTTTACAAGTGCGAGTCACTCTTCTGTTTCCACCCCCCCCCCTCTTGACATTTTGTGATATTTATGTTCCTCTCCTCTGTGAAGCCCGAAGTCAACTAAAGGGCTAATGGTAACTATCAAAAAGCCCTCAATTTGGTATAAATAAATTTAATTGCCACCAAAGTCGGGTTCCACTGTCCTCCTGACGGAAATAGCAACTACACGACAAAACTTTGAGTGCTTAATTTAATTCCTCTATCCGGAGCTTCACTTCAGGAATAGGACTTTCTTCAAGGGACTTATCTACCCTCGAGGGTGATAACGGCCAGACGTCAATCTGTCCCACAACAACTGTGTTCAAAGACCATTTTAGCAATTTAATTTAACTCGAATTAAGCTCAGTTTCAGGGGAATTTAATTGGTTACGATTCTATTTCAATTGTTAACTAATGGAAGTGGATTAGCCTAACTACTTGAAACTATAATTACGTCTCAAATCCATGTTCAGTTATTCGACGGTAATTAAAATTAATTATTTAATGCCTTGGGGTGTGCGATAGACTTACCTCCACGTGGTGCACCCTGGGCAACGTATACTCATACGGCAATAAAGTCTATTACCTGGCAGTTGACTTCTGACTTCAAACTGCCATGACCCCCCTGGTTGTCATTTTCGACCCCTTCCACAGAACTCACCTTACCTTTTTCTCTGCCTTTGTGTCTGTCTGTTTCTTTTACATCTGGGAATCGTTCTTCTGTCCCCCACCCCTCGACTTTCTGCTACTTTGATGTTCCTCCTCCCCTCTGTGAAGCCTGAAGTCAGCTAAATGGCTAATGATATCTATCAAAACGCCTGCCATTTGAAATAAATAAATTATTTAATGCCTTTTACACTGCCAAAAAATAACTAGACCGCTTTTCCGAAATAGTCTGAAATATCA